TGCTTGTTCATTAAATTCTGGTGCCTTGCAGTACTGACCTTGCAGGAACCTTGCCTGTCTCATAGGTAGAACCATTTTTCCCACAGCAGAGGGGGATTAAAACATGTGTTCTTCTCCAGGCCTGATGGATGTCTTCAGTGAACTACTTCTTGCTCTGGAAGGGGAGATTTCCATGGAGTGGAATTTTACATACAGTCTTACACTCTGTAGTAAATAGTTTCATAGGTTTCCTATCAGCCTACTTGTTCAGTTGTTCTCTTGAATGGGAACAAAGAGTACATTACCTGTCACAGCACTTTTCCAGTAGTTCCCTAGTGATAGCACAATTTTTCTTAGTGTAAGTTCTACTAATATGTATTACAAACAAGAGGAAGAAGGCATTTTTAGACTCACAGTGCAGTTGAACTCACCTTTTGCTTTAGAGAGGGGACTGAGTGCTGCTGAAGAAGGAGGGCAGCATAAAGCTTCCTCTGTATGGCTTGGAGGTACAGTTCATCTACTAGTCATTGCCCCTCAGCATTAAGCTAGAGGGTTGGTAAGTTCCCCTAAGTTTATGCTCTGCAGGACAGTAGGGAAAATGAAGACCACAGAGAGCTTTCTGTGCAGAAGTTCTGGCAGATGTTTCATGTAAGAAGGAAAACATCCCATTAACACATGGCCTTTGTAGCAGTGTCATTTCATTGTGAGAGTTTGGTGGGAGGGAGAGATGTTAAGAAGGAATGATAGAGAACGTGTATGTTCTGTATTACTATTGTTGTTTACAGTGCATACTTTTACTCGAGCTACTCAGATTCTGTCTCTAAGACTGATTCTCTTCTTGCTAACATGGTGGCTTGCAGCCATTCTCCGTGGCTACCTGGTTGGAAAACTAGTAACAACTGAGAGTATCCTGGCAGACTTCTGCTTTTGCATCTCTGGGAAACAAAAGCATGGGGTATATACCTCAAGTCTTTTGCCGTATCCAAACCTGACACTTCAGCTTGCCTTAGGCTGACCTTATTAAAGCTCCCTTCATGTGCAATCTCTCATGGCCGTGGATATTTCCCAGCCATTTGTAATTCAGCCACAAGGCCTGAACTGCTCAAACTGAGTTTTCATGTTGAGACCCAGAAATGTATTAAGCTAATTATACTTTGAAATCCCCCTTACTCTTCTCTTGCTTTTCCCTTCTTTGGCTCTGGCTGTCAGATAATTCCCCAGAGAAGAATATGTTTAAGTAGGCAATTACTTGTGATTCATAGGGTTTATTAGGAGTGAGAGGTGGCCAATCATGGCTGGCCTCTCAAATGGGCAGGGAAAGTTCCTTCAGCAAGCCAGACATACATCTCCATTACCTGTGACTGCTGGGGTGTGCTAATGGATGCCCTTTCTTCCTTTTGAGAGGAAGAAAACAGACCAAGAGCTGTGTGAAATCCTTAATTCCTCTGGAGTGTCAATTTGCTTGCCCTGGTAGCAAATGTGAATGTCTCAGACATCAGTAAACCATAAATGGTTGGGCTACATCAGAGGGAGAGAGACCAAGACCCACTCCAGTGGGGAGGGGAGGGCACTGCTTTATGGACATGCTGGTTCTGGCTTTGCCTGCCATCTCAGACATCCTTTAGACACTCTTAGTCATCTCACAAGGGTCTCTGGGCCCTTATTATGCCAGCTGCAGAACACTGTAAGATAGATGCCCCTTGCTGGTAAGGACTGTATGACCACTTGCAGAACCTGCCCTTGAGCTCCTGGTACAACTGGAGAACAGACTATGTTGGGAGTCCCCTCTCTTTACATGTTGTTCTGCTCTGTAATGCCTTAGTCCTTTGAGAGGGCTGAGATAATGGACTGCAAAAATCTTATGATTGTTTTGTCAAGGTACTGACAGTTTGCATCATTCCTTTGGATTTTTAGAAGGATCTCTCTTCTTAGTAGTTATTAAAGTCTGTCTTTTTGGGAACTGTCCTTGCATGAAAGAAATTGGCCTTTTACTTCAGATCAGCTGTGACATCTTGTCCTAGCCTCTAATAAGATCAGAGCATATGAATTTCACGTTTTCAGAATGGCTGTCACTTCCTTGGAAACCTCAGGTAATTAAAAGCTCTTGCTTCTGCTTTATTTTGTATCTTACTATTATTCTGTTCCTCGGATAGCTGTGTCTGTCTCTCCCATTTGTTCTTCTTTCCCTCTCAACACAATTAGCTATACATTTGGATTAACCAGATGGTCATATGAAGTGCTCACGGTCACCTGTCAGCACTAACTGTCTGGATTGGGTGCGTGCAGGTTTATGGGTTTAATTTGCATTTATCTACATGAGGTTTCCTCCTGGAGACAAAGAACCAAGCTTTAAAGAGATGTGGCAGGAGTGCTGAGTTGATGGTGGGATTTATGAAGGTCATTTAGGAAATAAGGTCAGAGAACATAGCAAAACCCTTCTACTGACTACCAAGAATGTCTTCTTGTCCCTGTATTCCTCTTTCATATTAAATGAACTCCTATCCAAAAAATTACTGATACATCTTGTAGTAAATGAACCTGAATCCATGATCTTTGTGTAATTGATTTTTAGCACCAGTTATATAGATCTGTTCTGGGAGGGCAGCAGGGCAAATAATAGGCCAACATTTTTTAAATTAGGGATAAGCAGAGCTCTGAGCCAGCTGCCTCTACTGACCCTATTGCTAAGTACATTGTTAGAATTTGCCACTGCTGAGCTTTGATACTTGCTTTGGGCAGATGTGAATTCAGTAGCAAGACAAACAAAAAACAAGCTCAAGGCAGAGGAGCCCTGCTTCATTTTCATGGAGGAGAAGATGAAAGGATGTTATCTCTCTGCTCTCTCCAAGAAATGGCAGCCTTTCATCTATTGCAGCAGGGTACCTAGACTTATTGCTGCCTGGAGTGATGGGGTGGCAATGGGAGGGCAAGGCCTTCAATTCATACTCCAGCAACCAGGATACCACTGCAGGAGCAGACTGACTGGGCTTACACTATTTGTCTCTTCCTGTCATCTCCCAAAATCTTATAATCATCCCCTGCAACCAGGGGAGTTAATATTGGAAAGATGCCTGGAGTGATTTGCACTTCTCACAGCTATCATTCCAGACCTTCACTTGTATCCAGTTCACTCAGTGATGGTTTTATCCACAACTTACATAGTGTTTAAAAAAATGGAAAAGAAGAAGGAATCGGTTTACATGACATGTCTCTGGGAGCTAGGGCTCATGTGTCACTCTGTCTTTGCACTTAACCTTAGGTTTTCTGGCAGCTCAGTCCTTCACCCTGTGAATAATGGGCCAGAAAGGCATATCTTGAGGGACAGCAGTGTGTATCTGGATGTAATGATACTCACCACATGAATTATGTAGCCAATCCTCTGTTAATTCAAGACTGAATTCCCAAGACTGAAATCCCCCTAAAGTGCTCCCAGCCCAGCACTTTACCTTTGGTGGTCTTTTCCACATGTGCACACACACATGTATATACTACAGTCTACGCCTGTGTTCCACACTGTGATGTGTAGACAATGTAGAGCTCAGTTAATCATTCAGACAAGACCTCAGTGAAAGTAATTTGAATTTACCCTTTTTTCTCCAGTTCCATCATTCACCATCATCTTCACACTGTCCCACTTGTCAGCTCTCAGTTACTCTCTGGAACCAAGAATGCAAACATTCTCCCGCAGCATGTTAGTGAAGGTCCAGCAGCAGAACAAGAGAGAGGGCAATAGTAGGAAGTACAAATACTAGACTATGGAGAAGACCATACATACATGTTTTTTTGAAACCTGCTGGGATGCCACTTAGTTGTGTGTATATGTATTCACATACGTGTGTGTTATTACCAGTTCAGGAAGGAGAAAATCCTGCTGCCACTTGTTCTTAATGTCAGGTCTCAATGTCTAATGTCAGAATTCAGAATTTCTTACTTTTCAAACCTTATGTTCTTTCTCTTCTTGAGCTGTTTTCATTTTACTTCCTGTTAATTCCTGAAAAACTCAAAGACCAGAAAGGAGACACTTTGAGATTCAGAGAGCTTGCAAAAAGACGCAGAACAAACACATCCTCTACTGTGTCTGTGATGTCTGTGGAAATGGGTACTTCCTGCTAGCTCCTATGACCAGGACAGCATTTTCTGCATTTAGAAGTCAACTTTTCTCTCCTTATTCTGCATAGTTTCTTCTTGCTCCCATCAGTATTTCCTACGGTGAATAAGGATGGGAGGAGTTTAGAAGCACTGAACAAAGGGAAAATCCTTGACATTGCTAAAGCAATGTTCTTTGTACTGTGTCCAGGTGTGGGGCACCCAGTGCAAGAAAGATGTAGTACTGTTGGAGCGGGTCCAGAGGAAGACCACAGAGATGATCAGAGGACTGGAGCACCTGTCCTACCATGAAAGGCTGAGCTGGACTAGTTCACCCTGGAGAAGAGAAGGCTCTGGGGAGACTTCATCGCAGGCTTCCAGTACTGAAAGGGAGCTTATAAAAAGGAGGGAGACCAAGCTGTAGTTGCCCCATCCATAGAGGCACTCAGGGCCAGGTTGGGTGGGGCCCTGGGCAGCCTGATCCTCTGGGTGGCAACCTTGCCTATGGCAGGAGGTTGGAACTAGATGATCTTTAAGGTACCTTCTAACATTAGCCATTCTGTAATGCTATCAAAGCATTGCTGAGCAAGAAGACACATATCAGGAATTGTCTGTTTAATCATGCTGTCAGAAGTGGAAATGCTAAGGAGGGATGCCTCCAGGTTCCAGCTTGTACGGGTGGCACTGTAGGTGGAGGCATGGTCATGATACAGGTGTAAGGAAGCTCACAAAGCTGATGTTTCGACCGGTCATACCTAAAGGAAGGCCTTCTGTTGATACTGAGGGCACAGCAATGCAGGAGAAGGTTAATTCCATGTTAACAGTACTTTTGATGGCCATTATAGACTAATCAGTATAGCAATTGGGGTCACGTAAAGCCATCAGAAGTCAATTAAGGAAAAATAACCTCTTGTTTGTATGTCTTTCAGATTGAAATGCTAGAGCACAAATACGGAGGTCACCTGGTATCTCGCAGGGCAGCCTGCACCATCCAAACTGCTTTCCGACAATATCAGCTCAGCAAGAACTTTGAGAAGATCCGCAACTCACTGCTGGAGAGCCGCATGCCACGCCGCATCTCTCTGAGGAAAGTCCGGGTCCAGAACTCTGAGAGCTTCTCTGCTGAGAAAGCCCTAGTAGAGGGATACAACTTTGTGGGCATCCCCTTGGTGAGGTCCCCATCTTTGCCAGCCACAATCAGTGGAGCACTGACTGAGCTGGAGGACTCCTTCACGGAACAAGTTCAGTCCCTGGCCAAGTCTATTGATGATGCTCTGAGCACCTGGAGCTTGAAAACCATGTGCTCACTGCAGGATGGGGGCTCATACCAGATAAGAGAGACCTTCAGTGCCAGTTCAATGCAACCAAACCAAGACTTAGAAGCTGAGCTGCAGGACAAGGAGAAGGAGGAAGGGCTTCTGCCAGATACCCTACCTAAGAGCAGCAGCACTCTTATGATGGCTTTTCGAGATGTCACGGTCCAGATTGACAACAAGAATATCTCTGTCTCATCGTCTACCTCGGTGTCCATGGCAAACTGCCTGAGCAGCAATGCCCAGGCTGGGCTCTCTCAAGCCTCCAAGTCTGAAGAAAGCCAGGGAGAAGGGGAGGGAGAAGACAGTGAACCGCAGGCTGCCCCAGAGTGCTTACCTGAGACAGAAGCTCTCCAGAACAGCCACACTTTCACTGAAGTGAACATTAGCACTAATGGCATGGGGGACAGCAATGAGGAGCCTGTGCAGATGGCAGTGCAGAAGCTCCAGTTTGATGCTAACAATGAGACGGGGCAAAGCAAAGGCTCTGAATCTGAGAATGCAGACAACTCAGAGCAGCTGAGCAGCAGCAGCACCTCTACTTCAGCAAAGTCAGCCTCTGAGGTGTCCTCAAAAGAAGCACTGCAAGCCATGATCCTCAGCCTCCCACGGTACCATTGTGAGAACCCAGCTAGCTGCAAGTCCCCCACACTTTCCACAGACACCATGAGGAAACGCCTCTACCGCATCGGGCTGAATCTCTTTAATATGTAAGTGACTCTTCATCTTTTGTGTTTCCTAGACTGCTTAATGCCTCACAAGAATAGGTGAAGACAAGCTCTTGGTCTAGATCTGTCTCTAGGGAAGTTCTTTATATTCAAGGGTATGACCCTCTCAGTATCATTTAGACCATGGGTTGTCTGCCCAATGGCTTTTCCCCTGAATTTTCCCAAGTGCTGTTCTGATCTGTCCAGTAGAGGAACAACGCTGTCCTGAATTCTGAACCTTCAATCCCAATTTCAGTCCATTTGAGATCGTGCCACATTCTGTTGAAAAAGCAGAAGCATATCTGTGGACATAAAAACAGTCTCAGATACTTAACCTGGAGCATTTCCAAGGAGAAAGAGAGGGAAAAGTAGAGCTGAGATTAGCTAGCCTGGTATGAGTGCTCTTGCTTTTGTTTTCCTTGTTTCTTTGGGTAGATTTTTTTCATCTTAATAGAACAGGTTTAGTCATCTCAGTCTCTCATACATCTGAGTCTGATATCCTATGAAAAGGCCTTAGATGTGAAAGTAAAGCAGAGTGGCTCAGAAAGTACAGTCAGAAGGGGTCATATGCAGTCTATTTTAGATTGGCAGAAAGCAGCTGAGCTCTAATAAGAAGCTTTAGATTTGCTTGTTGTCTTTCGATGAGACATTTCTCATCAAAACAACCCATGAGAAATAGTGGGATTTTATCTCATGCTGTCTTGGTTTCCATTTGAATCCCCAGATGAAGGTGCTGGGAACATGATGCACTTATACAAGCAGAATGTTTTGCCACACATTAGTGTGGGCCTTTTGGTCTGAGCAAGGACTGAAGTTTATGCAATTATGGACAGAAGTTTTGCACAGACAAGGATTAAATATGTGTAGTACAGAGACTGTAGACCCCAGAAGGCAGGAATGTGGTTGAAAGATTTTTAGTGCTGGCTGCAAAGCATGTCCAGAATTGAAATTCTATAAGAGCAGACAGACCTGGAACTCATACAGAGCCAAGGAGGATATTGAGGAAGGCATTTTACTAATTCTGTTCGTAGATTGTGAACAGGTGGTTTCACATGTATATATCAAAGTCAGGCTCTGGCAGCACACATTTGCTCAATGGATGCGAGCAGGATGGAATAAGAGAAGGTAGGCACCAGGAACAGATGGGAGCTGATTATGACATACTTCCAGCTCCACAGAGATGTTGTGGTACTTGTGTTGGGATTGGTGTTTTTCTGGAGGAGGACACAGAGTTCACATCTCTGCAAACCAAGTGTTTCAGTATTTTCAGTCATGTTTGGCAGGAGTTCCCATACCCAGTGTGTTTTCCTTTGGTTCATGCAGAGTTGACACAAGTACTGATGTGATCATAAAGCAGGAGTGAAAGTGTTTTTTCCCAGCCTGTATGCCTCCCCCAGTCTGCCTGGCACACATTCATCTGTCAGATTAACAACACTAGGTCTTCTGGGGCAGCATTGCCATTCTTCCTTTAGTGACCTGAGTTTCCTGCATCTTGCAGGTCTCTGTGGGATTGAAAACTGAGTAACACTGTGGTGCTTTGAAACACAACTTCCTGAAACACAACTTTCTTGCTGCCTTGAAACTAGTTGCTGAAACAATGTGCCAGTAATCTGTGAAGCTCAATTTTCTTGACAAAACGTTGGAGGGTAGGAAGAAAGGGAATGGACTTAGCTCTGGCAAGCAAAGTTTGTTTTTTTAATTCTATGAGCAGGAACTAAGGGATATATAGCTCCTCTTGTAACACTGTAATATACCACAACCCAAGGGGTGGCAAGGGGGTTTATAGGCATTCAGCTTAGTGCAATTATTTGATTGTTGGTCTCCCTGCCAAGGAGATGGTTTACCGTCACAGTGTGTGTGATACGATCACCAACCCGTAGTGCATGGAGCTGAGGCTATGAGTATGTGCATGCATATATTTTTGCTGACTGCTCCGCTGGACCAAGAGCTGAAAGCCTCCAATTGCTAGCACCATCTGCCATAGTCTGTCTGGCCTTGCACTGCTTTTCTGTAAGCAGTGCTCTGGCTTGGAGCAGGCCCCTGGGAACAGACCGATCCTGCGCTGTTGTGGCACTTTCTCCTTCCCCCCCTCCACAGTGAGGGGGTGGAATCCCTGGAACGGAGAGTGCTTCATTATGCAGCACTTCTGTAATAACTGAGTGTGTGTGGGCAGCTGGCTGTGTGGGCAGAGGGAAAGCCAGCAGGACGTGAGGAATCCCACAGCATTTGCTGGCCATGCTTAACACCCCTGAAATGTTGAGGAAAATAGCAAGGACTGAGCTCAGGAGAGAAAGAAATGGAGCTGCTTGCTGCACATCTGGTAAAAGTCATATGCTGCAGTATATGGGATACATATACAGGTGTTCAGTGGCAGAGATGCTGTATCATTACCAGGATTTTGTGGGGAACAACTTGAATCCAGGGAAAAGCTGATGTAAGGCTGCTGTTGGTTAAACAGTTGTGTTCATTTATACTGGAGCTTTAGTCTATGCAGTGAAGGAGGACTGTCAGAGCTGGACTGTTTTGTTCTACATCCTCTTGCTTTGTGTGTTCCATTCCTTCTGAAATCTGCATGTCTATGCCAGTCTATTAGAACTGTTTCCTGGCCACATCCAGCTCCCATCTCCTCTGGAACTAATTCAGAGTCAGTCCAGTGTCTTTGGAGTCACATCAGTGACTGAGGTCTTGCCTTAAACATTACACTGGCTCAGTGACTAAAATATGCACATCCATTTTTTGAATCTCTGTTGCTTACCTTGACTTCACCCATGGCCATTTAACCCTTGCATTTAGCTGAGAACTTTGCCTGTGCTCTTCAAAGGCGAAGCTGGAGATCTATATGATGATATAGAAGGAATTCTGTTGTTTTTCCTTTAGCAAGTCCTAAGTTTTCAATGTCAGATCTTGCATCTCTCCTATTCATAAATTTAATGGGCTGACTTGTTCTCCCAGACACTCTTCCTGACAATGCCACTCTGCCCATGATGTTTTCTATGTGACATGACAGAGTAAGCAGAAATATCTTCAACCCAACTTCTGTTAGTATAACCATGAGGCCTCTGTAGGGAGCAGGCCATTCTCCTGAATGCCAATCCCCTTATAGCTAGACATATGTTGCTCACCCACATCCTTCACCACCTGATAGTGTCACACTCTGTGCCTGTCATATCATGCATTCACGTGCTCAGAGATCTCATCCTATCCTTTCCTCACCCCAGAAAACAGCCTGAGCAAACCTAGCCCTTGAGCCATGACAAAGATCCCTGAATTTGGGTTAATGGTGGAAGTATGTTTTCCTTTCCTATCCTTCATGAGGATGCTCAGAGAATGAAAGGAACGTGGAAATCTTCCACATTACATGAGTTCCCCTCAGCAAGAGTGCATCATGACTGGGGCCCTTCAGTGGCACAGCCTGAGGTACAGGAAGAAACTCTCCTACGCAGTGCACACATAAGCACTCATTCCAGTATGTACTGTGGGACAGGCACCCCCATAGACTCAAAGCTGCTGCCAGGTTGCATAGAAGGTTGTATGCCTATAGGATACATAAGGAGAAAGGCAAAATGTGTGGACATGATGGTCTCCTAGGAAAATGTATGATGCAGGAGAAATCTGCATATTCAGGGGTTATACACACACATGAACACGTGTACTTGAAGAGGCACACAGTACCCCCCAAGATGTGTGCACAGATACTGGCACACCACTGTGTAGAATAGCACTCCCACAGACAGGCAGCTGGGCTCACTCACATCCAGCCTGATCTCAGAGGGGGCTCACAGTCAGAGGGGGAGAAAAACCCTCTGTGCTCTGTCTTGGAGCTGCATACAGCTCTCTCCCAGCTCTGACAAGGCATTCTCCAGGTGCATGCTCTCATCCACCCACACTCACAGATTTCTGCCTGAGGGGGGAAATCAATAGAGAAGGGAAGAACAACACAGCTATGGGTGGGGGAAGTGGAGGAAGGGATAATGCAAATATGAGAATGGGATTTCTATTCAGGCAGCCAGCAGCAGACTCAAGTGAGGAAGGCAGAAATGTCACTCAACACCAAGCAGTAAAAATGCATGAAACAGAAAATGAATTTTTATTTACAGAAAAAAAGTGTCCCATCTTTGGCTAGCCCCCTCTATGTCATGAGCCTCATTTGCCCATAGCCCATGGAAGCAGTGCCTCCTAAGTTTCTTCACAGTCACCTTTTTCCCTTTGCCCAGCTTTCTGAGATAGTAGCAAAGGGTCATATTTAGGCACCCTAAACAAACTAAGCTGGGGTAGGTACAGTGCAACAGATTTTGATCCTGAAGGAGAGGGATAGCAGAAGAGAGTCACTGGTGAGTAGCAAGATCCTTTGTGGCAAGAGGCACTTACAGTCTCCTCCAGACAACAGCAGGTGCTGCAGGTGACACAGTGGCTCCCATGACATCTGTTTGCATCAGCAGCAGCTGGGGAGAACTCTCCCAAGTCTATTCCCTGCTTGGCCAGTCCCATCCCTGTCACATACATGAACTCATAGGAGCCCATGTGCATATTGAGGGTTGCATTACTGGCACGACAGATGATGAACCAGGAGTATTGATGTCCCAAAGAGTTCATGCTGACTCACCATATTTTTGTCCTTCCTTTTCAGAAACCCAGACAAAGGGATCCAGTTCCTGATCTCCCGGGGCTTCATCCCAGACACTCCTATTGGGGTGGCACACTTCCTGCTCCAGCGGAAGGGCCTCAGCCGCCAGATGATTGGGGAGTTCCTGGGCAACAGCAAAAAACAGTTCAACAGGGATGTCCTGGAGTAAGTATGGAAAACTCTTCCTCTCCTTTCTGCCCTTTTATAGAGTTACCAGTCCACCCTGCCCTGCTTGCACCAGCAAGCAACCTGTCCTCCATGCCCCACCATTTCAGTGGGAACTTCACCATTTCTACTGCCAATCTGGTGCCTCTCATTGCATTTCCCAGGAATGTGTTTGCCTCCCCGTATCATTTCAGTTTCTCCTTCCCAAAGGGCCTGCCATCATCCAGCTGGAGTTCAGCACCAAAGAGAGTAAGGCCAGTGACGCCAGGAGATTTTGTGTCTGAAGAACTCTGTGACTCATGTCTCACCCCATCCAAACAAAGCACTCCTGATGCTTTCTAGGAAGTGCTAAGAGAAGCAGAGGAGAAAAAGCATTTGCTCCTTGCTGTGAAACCAGCAGGAAACAGCAAATGCTGTCCATGCACATGGTTCTTTTGCTGTCCAGGTCTGTAATGGGTGGGCTTTTCAATTATTTTAGCTGCTCGATAAGGAAAATAAGAGGTTCTGTGGGTGGTAATGAAGAAGACTACACGTAGAAACCTGCTACTAATTTGTTTACTCTGTAGTCAGAACACTGAGGAATATCCCACTCCAAAAACTTTAGTGGACTGAGCTGTCTTTTCAAGACAAGATCTTGGGTTTCCTACCTGCTTCTTTTCAGTAGCTGCTTTTGCTGGATTGCTCCCTTCAGTTCACTCACTGTGGTTACCTCTTGCTCACACAAGCTGTGTATCTCTCAGCCTACATTTCTCTTCTTTTTCAAGCCTTGCAATTTGGGCTACAAAATCCTGGGAACACCTAAGACCTATGTATGCTACCTCACTGTCTGCCTATTGCCTTGCCTTTCATGTTGCTAAATATCGCTAACTTGTTATCCCCCTACTGTGAGCATCACAGGAGCAGAGTAAAAATGTTTGGCAGAAAAGCATATTACCCGTTTTTCTGAATGTTGTCCAAGATGACAGGCTTTCTGCAAAGATGATCCTGGGGAACTGAGATGGACCTTAATTTCCTGCGTTGCCCTGATCTACTTCTTGCCATACAGATTAGGGAGAAGGAGAAAGCACAGCTCTGCATGGTATAAAGTAGTGGCATAATGCTTCTGCCACCCTGAAAGCCAATGCAGTAAAGACAGAGGGGGAGTTTTCACCAGAGTGTAAACGCGAGTGCTGCCATGCATGGTAATGTGACATGTGTAGTCATGGCGCAACAAGCTTGTTCAAAGACCTGTTTCCAGAGATGATCAGCACTCAACTGAGTCTTTCTTTCATTAGGCAATAGCACAGTTCTTAGTGAGAGCTGCCTTTCCGTAAGGCACAGTCCTTTGTATTGCATCCATTGTAATATTTTCCCAGTCTCCAAAATGATAACTCTTTTCAGTTTCACAGTGGCTTATTTTGAAGCAAACCAAAGAGAAAACCTAAATCCAACACACACACCATTCCTACTACTGGAAAAAAATAATTGAATCATCATAGAATCATAGAATAATTTGAGTTGAAGGACACCTTAAAGTTCATCGAGTTCCAACTCCCCTCATGGATACAAGGCTGCTACCCAGTAGATCAGGCTGCCCAGGCCCCATTCCAGCCAGGCCTTGAACACCTCCAGAGATGGTGCATCCACAGCTTCTCTGCCCAAGCTGTTCCAGTGCCTCACTACACTCGTGGTAAATAATTTCCTTCTAATATCTAATCTCAACCTAACCTCTTTCAGTTTAAAGCCATTGCCTTTTGTCCTATCACTACAATCCCTGGTAAAGAGTCCCTCTCCATCCTGAAGGACCACTTTAAATACTAGAAGATCACAATGACATCTCCCTGGCACCTTCCCTTTTCCAGGCTAAATAACTCCAGCTCTCAGCCTGTCTTAATATGAGAGGTGCTCCAGTCCTCCGTCCATCGTCATGGCCTTCTCTGGAATCACTCCAGCAGGTCCATTCCCTTATGCTGAGAACCTCAGAGCTGAATGCAGTACTGCAGGTGAAGAGTATGCCAGTTCAGCATCCAAATTTGGACCCAAATTTAAAACTCAATTCCTGATGCAACTGCTGCTGCCCGTTGCTGCCCATTCCTGACCTTTGATTCAGCCCTATTTTTAATATGCTGCATGGGTATTGATTAGAACAGCAATGAAACACGTGTTGTCTCCAGTTTCTTCATGCCGAGAGCTACAATTAAAAGTAATTGCCTCTTTTTCTCCAGCAATGTGTGGGCTGCTTCCCCTGACAGATACACTGCTGAAGTCCAAAGCCTGCCTCTGCATAGACAGCCTCTGCAGTAGCAATAGGCAAGCATTTCTTTGTAGTCCTACATTCAATCCCTGCAAATGACCACGTTCTTCCAGTTCATGTGCAACTATAGACTGTGTCAGCAGCACCTGGTAACAGTCTGTATTACAAAGCTTGATGTCAGTCTTCCAGTCTCAATGTCCAGGAACTGCTGTGATGTAGTTGCTTTTATTGTCTCTGAATGTTGCAGGAGAGCTATTAGAGCATGTGGCCATACTCCATCATTACTCTCAGTTTCCACTGTACCTCTCAATGTAGCACTCCAAATGCATTATGAAGAAGTGTCCCTACTGTCCTATTTACAGATGGAGGAAGCAAAGCTCAGAAGTGGGAAGTGAGCTGTTAAGGTTGTGTCTACATATCTTTAAGCAGCTGAATCTAAATTTGGAGTTCAGAGCTGTACCTGATTGCTTCAAACAACAGATAAATTGCTGACTCATATTCCTTAAAGGCAAATGTAAAAGCAGACATAAAATATACACAAAATGTTCTACAACAGGAAAGAAAAGAAAGAAAAATTGCCAAATAATTCAGCTAGTTGCAGCTGTGCTGTTTGCAGGTACTTTCTCTTGTGCATCAATTCTGAGCTTCTGGATAGCAGCAGCAGGGTTTTGCAAGCAAAATTTTGTCAGCTCTTGTGAGAGCTGTCTGGTCAATAGCTGCACACACAACAGTGTGGCATGCATGGAAACAAGGCATTGCCGGAACAAAATCTCACACAGGATTATCATCCTGAATATTTTTCCTGTCTATGCATGAGGATGAAGAGGGCTGACAGGGTATGACAGTGTAATGGCATTTTCCAGTGCTCATGGGCTGGTCACAACTTCTGAGCTGTTTGCATGTGAGCATGAAGCAACTCAAAGACATTCTAGCATTTTAGGACTGGCTAAGACCTCGTCTGGTTCCTTGTTCCACTGGTGTGACTAAGGAACAACTCCCAGCAACTTAGCTCAGGAACACTGCACAGGTTGGGACAGGTTGGTCTTGCAGTCCCCACATATACCCATGCTAAACAAGCCAGTATTAGGAGACATGGTATTCCCTGGAGAGCACGTGGCAATCAGGATAGCCTTTACACAGTTTTTGTATAGTTTGCCCAGTTCTACTCCCATTTCTGGCTAAACTGACCCTTCAGTTCTTGGCATTCTTGGTCCTGACAAGCTCCAGTGCCTGGTTAGAATGGCAATTGGTAGGCACTGACCACCTGCATTGAATAAGCCTATGTGCAGGGGGAGTCAGTTCTGCTCCTTCACATCCCAGACGTGGCCTTGAAGCCTTCCTGGACCATTCTATCCCTCCCTAGAGCAATTTCAATTATTGATGTCATTTGCTGTGCTAGTTTAACTTCCACTCAATGTGAAAACTTGTGTACTGTAAGCATTGTTTCAATTGCAGCCAGGTTGAATTAACCCAACTGCATAAATAAACAATGAGACAGCTTTTAAAACATCTGCAAAAGTGTCCAGCTCCATTGTGCATTTGGATACTGGATAGAGCTGCCCAGGTTATAAATTCCAGACTCAGCTCTAAGTCCAGCCATAAATCAATACTCTGCAAACTTCTCTTGGCTTCCATGGCTATTTGAGCTATGCTAGATGGCAAACAAGTCAACCACTGCCTGCTCCTAGAGTTAGGTAGAAGAACTCAGAAGTGTACAATTGAGCTTGACGCTGTGAAGAGGACCCCTCTTTACTGCCCATGTAATGAATGCAGAACTCCAAAGATGCATCATACTGGTTGCAGAGCCTCATATGCATGGTGAAGGGCGAATGAGGATAAACTTAGTATGAGACTTAAGCCCTTTGGTTTGCTATTTTGCCTTCTCACATCTGCACATCCAACTACTAGAAGTCCTTAAATTATATTCTCCCTTCCATCCTCCTATTTCGTCTTTCAACCTTTAACTGTTTTTCCTGGAACCCAGAAAATATATCAGGATAACTCAGGTAATTACACACACTAGCCAGAGGAATGAGGGAGAGAGTAAGGGATTTTCGAGAGTATCTAACTGTAATTGGCACTCATCCTTTGATAACACTAAACTGCTCACTCCTCTTTTGTTAGAGAGATGAAATGTGTCATTTCCTCTTGCAAACAAGGCTTCAATCTTTAAGGGCAGGATTTATCTCCCCTATTGTTAACCACCACCAAGTTTAGTGTCATCTATCAATTTATGAATCCCTTTAGTCAATGGAGAGACACAGATCCCTCAAGAGTGCCGTTTTTCTCTTTATGCCTGTTTTGCCTGGACATCTAGCTTTTAAACATTTTATGTTACAGGGTTAAATCCCATCTGTAGCCAATTTTAAGCATCTGACAGAAAGATCCAGCACTCCACAGTAAGATCCAGCTTCTTCTCAGGAGAATCTGCTTCCACAACCTGCCTGCAGCAAGCTGGGACCTGTCTGAGGGTTTCAGCATCTGTCAGTCCAGGAAATAAAGCTGTAGAGAGGGAGCCTGATCCATTCAAACTCTGCTCTGGTATTGGACAGTTTTCATCAAATCTACTTGTCAAATGTGACAGAAAAATCATATTGTTACTCTGAAAAAGTCAGGGGCAATGCACACATTTCTAATGAGGTACAGCATATTCTTACATCTTTTCTTTAATCCTTTTCTTTTGTATTACTCATATGCATTGTTTATTTGTTTGTGTGCATTCTTAATCCTGTGTTTGTTTGTTGCTTTGTTCTCTTGTTTTGTTCTC